ATTATTTCATATGTTAAAAATTTACCTGGAAATGAAAAGTCGTGGCGTTCGTTCCAGAATTAATTTTGCTTCGAGCAAAAATAAATAATTTCGTTTTTTGTTATTAAAAAAAAAATAATAATAATAATAATGAGTTTTTTTTTTTAATAAGTTCCGAATCGATATATGTCAAAATCAACGTAAACATATTAATTTAATGTATTATTATTATTATTATTATTATCATTGTTAACAAAAAATTTTAATAATTTTTTTTTTTTATTTTTAGGTAAGAACGATTTTTCAATAATATAAAGAAAATTTTAAATTTCCCGCCGTTTCTTCAAAAGGTAGGAACACACAAAAAATAAAATAACGCATGATTTTTTTAAAAAAATTAATCAATTAATTAATTGTCGTCTGCTTGTTGTTTTTATTATTATTATTATTAATAAACTAACACGATTTTTTTTTTCGTTAACGTAGTAAAAGTGATTTTAAAAAATTTATAAAAAATTTATATTCAAATAATAAAATGAAAAAAAGTTAAGAGGAAAGAGGGGAGGGGGAGGGGTAGAGAGAGAAAGAGAGTGTGAGAGAGAAAGGAAAAGGAAAAATCCGGGGAAAATGAAAATTTTCATTATGGTTTGAGAAAAATTCATTTTAAGAAAAAAAAAAGAAAAAAGAAAATTCTGTTGAGTAAAAAAAAGGCCTTTTCTTCTTTTTTTTTTTTTTTCTTTATTTCGATTCTCCCTCAAGGAAAAAAAGGAAAAAAAAGGAAAGAGAAAAAAAGGAAGATGGAATACGAGGTTAAAACAAATTTATCGCTTCACTGCTCGAATCCTGGAATTTCGTTTATTTTTACGAAAAATTTAGATAACAAAGATTCATTGGTTTAAACGAGTTGAATTTTTTTTTTTCTCTCTACATAGAAAACATTGTTCGATTCAATTCGTTTGTTTGTTTGTTTGTTTGTTTCGATACAACTGGGGAAATCCAATGGAAAAAAATATATTTTTTTCCATTGATTTCCATATATTTTCTTTTTTTTTTTTTGTACTCTTAAAAAAACGTTTTTTTTTTTTTTTTTTTTTTTTTTTTTTAACGTAATCCTAACATTCGTCTTAACAAAGGGGGGCTCCTAACTTTTTTAACTCGATCAACAACAACAACAGCAACAACAAAAAACTTGATAAATTTACAACAACCGTTTCCCCCGACACATTTTATGCATATATATATATTTAATAGTAGCAGTAGACGTAAAATTGACTCCATTAAACTCGGGAATTTATTATTTTATTTTATTTATTTTTTTTATTTAAATAAAATTAATTTTTATTAAATTAAATGACGAAAACAAAAAAAAAATTCAAAATGGCGTCGCGTTCTTTTTTTTTTGAAAATTTTAAATTGATAACGATTTCGCGTTTTTTTTTTTTTAAATTCTGTTATACGACATCTTTGTCATCGTCATTATCATTTATTATTATTATTATTATTATTATTATTATTATTATTTTAAAACCGCGTAAGATACCGAATCATTTGATATTTTTTTATAAAAAAAAAAAATTATTTAAATTTTTGCGGTTTTTTTATTTTATTTTAATTATATAATCATTATTATTATTATCCTCCCCCCCCGTAAAAAGAATTTAATAAACGTTTTTTTATTGATGTTGGTGACACGCATCCACACACACACACACACACACACACACACACACACGAACACATTTCAGTTTTAAAAATAATAATAATAATTTTTCGATCCTTTGCACAAAATTTTAAAATTTGTTTTTTTTTTCGCATTATAAAAAATAATTTCCGCCATTTTTGTTTGTTTGTTTGCAACACTTAATAATATTAAGTCTGTTGTTATTATTATTATTATTAATATTTATTATTATAAATATAATAATAATAATTTTATTAAATAGCGTAAATTTTAATTAGTAGAAGAAGATTTCCTATTGCAAAGTAAAAAAAAAAACAATAATTTACACTTGCGAATTTTTCATTTTTTATTTTATTTTTTCTTCGGTACCATTGAAACGT